TACATGTTTATTATTACTCCGGTATTCTTTGGACCTTACCTATCACATGTAAAGCATAGATATTGAAGCACGAGTATAACCCTGAGATAAGAGAATTAAATAGTGTGATAGAATCATAATTACATCATTTAAATAAGTTTAATTAATTAGCTAATTAGTTGCTTGGCGCACTTAAGACTTTGAATACCACAATAATATATATATATATATATATATATATATATATATATATATATATATATATATATATATATATATATATATATATATATATATTTTTATATATATATATACTGTAATGAGAACAGAGAAGAAGAAGAGAAGAGAATGAGAACATACTTTATATATATATATATACTGTAATGAGAACAGAAATACAATAAATTAGCATAGAAATATATTTAAGTCAGCCATGTGTATATACAACCAGATATACACTGTTAGTTAATAAATTTATTTAAATAGTAATTAAAGACATAATTTATAAGTTATATACTAGATAATATTATTAAAAAAATAATTATATGAGGGTATTTTTAAGAATCTAGCATATAATAAATGTTAAAAGTTTTTTTTTAATAATTATAAATATATATAAGTCAGCCATATGCATATGCAACCAGATATACACTGTAATTGTCAGAAGTCAAATGAGTTTATTTATTTGGAATGTTAATTTAAAATATAATTACGAATGTAAAATAGTAATAATATATTTAATATAAGTAAATGTTTAAGTTACATATAATAGTGTAATTCTGATCTGAAGAGCCTAAATGTCAGTTAAATTGTACATGTAGACCAGAGAAAGTTCTAGAAACGCCAATAGGACTATTTGCATAGTCCATTACATAGACAGATTCCATTCCATTTATTCCAGAATGTTCAGATAGAAAAAATAGAACGATTCGAACCTTATTTATTGCTAGATTATTCTGGAACCATGAAATGATATAAATACATACCATGTAATTTGGACCAGGGGCAGTAAGTTCGTTAGAAGAATTCAAGGCATTAAGTTACACGGGATTATTAAGTCAAGTACAGATTAGTATTAAGTACGTTAGAGTTGATTCGTAAAGTGAGTTAAGTTACAAGAAGTTACAGTCAATTAATAAGTGAATTAGTTTGAAGAATTTAAGAATTCAAGGATTATTAAGTCAGTTACATGTGATTATTAATTATAAAGAAGAATTAAGAAGAATTTATGAGGTTATGAAGAGATTAGTAGCTAGAAGAAGGCATTGATTAAGATAAATGAATTAATTAAGTCAAATACAGTTGGAGATTAATTATTACTACAGTAATATAGTGACAGTATGAAGTTAATTCATTCAAGTAAGCATTCAATAGTACAACCACAAGATCCAGTATATTTGAAAGTACATTATATGGAAATTACAAGGATTTAAATTTATACATTTATATGGTGAGTAGAGATAATTAAGAAGAAACATATTAAAATTGTTGGATAACCAAGGCTGAGTAAGAAGATATCGAATGGTGATAATATCTTTAATTTTGGAAAAACTTTAGGCTTTCAGTGATAGAAAGGTACCAAATTTTGTTAATAATTTTATAAGAATTTCAAATTTTAGATAGATTGTTTTAAATTTAAATTGTTTATATTAGATAGATATGTTTGTTTCATAATAGTTATAATATAATTTAAATAAGATAATAAGATAATTTAAAAAAGTACTTACAAACTAATTCTTTGAGAATCGCGATAAAAGGTCTATACTTACATATATCATTCAAATTTACTCATAGCTCATACAGAAACAACACATCATAACAATACCTATATATATATATATATATATATATATATATATATATATATATATATATATATATATATATATATATATATAATATATATATTGTATATATTGTATATATATGTATATAAATTTTTTTCTTACTTATTACACGTAATAAGTTTGGATAAAATATTTTTAAATTTTGTCCTGCCTTTACCATATATGGTGCGGCATCAAATAAAATAAGCAATAATTTATCATTAGGCACAGCAGCAGGAAGAAAAAAGTTTGCTAATGTTCTTGTAGAAACTTTGATATTGTTAGAGCATTGTTTTTTTTTTGCGTACAGGAAATTAATTACGATTTTGGAAATGTTTCATCGCTAAGTACACCAATCAATAAGTGCACAATGTATCTTCCTGAGACGAGTCAGTGGTCTCGTCCATACATATTATGTGAAAAGTAATTATTACCTATTTCGGCTTTTATGTTGTGGATAACTGAGAAGTATAAAAAATTAACATTATGTCTTTTTAGAGTTCTTTCACTGGGTATGTTTTGTTTGCAAAATATTTTTTTAAATAACTAAGTTTTCATTACATAATTTTAAAAGCGGTATATTAGAAGATACTAATGCACGACACAAGTCTTCGTTAAAAGTTTATTGTTCGTTTTGTTTTTTGGAACTTGGCTGAAAGCACCTATCACATTAAAGGTCGATATTTTTTTTCACCGGATGTAATTTACGTTTTTAGCTAAATGTTTCGCGGTTCTGACATGCTGATCTATTTGATTTTTTTTTTAAATATAAAAATATTCTATATTTGTACCCATTTTTAATATCTAAGATTATAGAGGTAAACTAAAAATGAACCGTTTTTGCATAACAATTAAAATATTTAAATTAAGTCAAATTAAAATCGGTGCAGTACTCTTAAAAATGTCAAGAAATGACTGTGCAAGAAGGAAGAACCTCCAGATATTTACAAGAGGTTCTTGGTCTTTTCTGTTTACATTTAAAGCAAAACTACTGTGAGCATAAATTAAAAGCACTTAATTAATGAAGTCCAATATATGATATGTTTTTGTTTTTAGCAAAATTAAAGCAAACTATGCTATTGTTAGAAAAAAAATGTTAGCGACCTTTCAGTAGACTATTGAATGATTTGAATTTAAATAGGTATCCTATTTTTTATCGCAAGGAGTTTAAAAATGCTTAAAAAAAGAAAAAATACATCGATTTATTACGAACTAGCCTTGTGTCGTTACTTTTCTTACATATTCTCCAATTTTAAAATCTTTGTTTGTACCACCGTGTAAATTTTTAAAATAAAATAAAAAATAATACGTATGTACTTACGGTTTTGCCACAATATAAGCAATAAACTTTATCCATATCCATAGATACCTCTTTGTAAGGTTTTATCCAAGTTGAAACATTGCTTATTTTCGGCATTTTCAAATCACAATAATTATTCACAATTAGAATATCACAATTAGAAGTACACATTGTTTACGCCTCCAATTTTACAACAAAAGTGAAACCAAGTGAAACTGACCGTCAAAATAAAAGTTTTTACCTAGAGACACAAACCTTTAATTTCAGGACAAAACTATAAGCTGCTGTGTTTTAGTAGTTACTATACCAATATTTTGAAAACCAAGTGATTATAAAACAAAATTAAATATTGGCATTTATATGCTATCTGTAAGTGTGAATATAAAAATATATAGTTAACAAAAATTTTCAAATTAGGTGCACTTTATACTCACTTTTATATAAATATGCAAAATTTGACATTTTTACATTTTTTATACATTATAATGCAAAATATGCAATATCCATATTTGCCTAAGTCTATTTATAAGTTATGCCAAACTTACAGAAAATATTTTGGTATTTAGTTATTTTAAATAGAACACTTTGTATGTATTTTACTGCAATTTTCGATTCTGCATAAGATTCTAGATAAAAATTTTTATAAGGTACCATAAGTTAAAATTTCATATTTTTTGAGTTATTTACGTTTTTTGAAAAATGGGCCTAGAACGGATCAATATGAAATTTCCAAGAATAATGGTACTTAATTTCTTCCTCTAGAGAGAGAGAGAGAGAGAGAGAGAGAGGGAGAGAGAGAGAGAGAGAGAGAAGAGAGAGAGAGAGGAGAGAGGAGAGAGAGAGAGAGAGAGAGAGAGAGAGAGAGAGAGAGGAGAGAGAGAGAGAGAGAGAGAGAGAGAGAGAGAGAGAGAGAGAGAGAGAGAGAGAGAGAGAGAGAGAGAGAGAGAGAGAGAGAGAGAGAGAGAGAGAGAGAGAGAGAGAGAGAGAGAGAGAGAGAGGAGAGAGAGAGAGAGAGAGAGAGAGAGAGAGAGAGAGAGAGAGAGAGAGAGAGAGAGAGAGAGAGAGAGAGAGAGAGAGAGAGAGAGAGAGAGAGAGAGAGAGAGAGAGAGAGAGAGAGAGAGAGAGAGAGAGAGAGAGAGAGAGAGAGAGAGAGAGAGAGAGAGAGAGAGAGAGAGAGAGAGAGAGAGAGAGAGAGAGAGAGAGAGAGAGAGAGAGAGAGAGAGAGAGAGAGAGAGAGAGAGAGAGAGAGAGAGAGAGAGAGAGAGAGAGAGAGAGAGAGAGAGAGGAGAGAGAGAGAGGAGAGAGAGAGAGAGAGAGAGAGAGAGAGAGAGAGAGAGAGAGAGAGAGAGAGAGAGAGAGAGAGAGAGAGAGAGAGAGAGAGAGAGAGAGAGAGAGAGAGAGAGAGAGAGAGAGAGAGAGAGAGAGAGAGAGAGGAGAGAGAGAGAGAGAGAGAGAGAGAGAGAGAGAGAGAGAGAGAGAGAGAGAGAGAGGAGAGAGAGAGAGAGAGAGAGGAGAGAGAGAGAGAGAGAGAGTGAGAGAGAGAGAGAGAGAGAGAGAGAGAGAGAGAGAGAGAGAGAGAGAGAGAGAGAGAGAGAGAGAGAGAGAGAGAGAGAGAGAGAAGAGAGAGAGAGAGAGAGAGAGAGAGAGTGAGAGAGAGAGAGAGAGAGAGAGAGAGAGAGAGAGAGAGAGAGAGAGAGAGAGAGAGAGAGAGAGAGAGAGAGAGAGAGAGAGAGAGAGAGAGAGAGAGAGAGAGAGAGAGAGAGGAGGAGAGAGAGAGAGAGAGAGAGAGAGAGAGAGAGAGAGAGAGAAATTAGATTTGTAGAGAGTTATTCGATAATATAAATTTGTATGGTATTGCCTGTAAATAAATCAAAATAAACATCACAATATTTTTTAATATGTTCTTTATTTAAAACCAGTTGTTCTTGCATTCAAACACAAATAAATTATTATAATTTTAGTTTGAAAGATATATTTAGGAGCTCTGGTTTGGGTTATTCTCTTTTTTCCTAATAGTGTTTGACGAGGTAGCTGCAAGAAATAATACTAATTTTAATAAAAATGTTTTAAAATATTATTATTTATTACAATTAATGGAGTTTCCTACTATATTCTGGCAAATATTAAATGAAACTATAAATCACAAATCACGTATCGTAAGTAGTCAAAAGTTGCCGAATTCACGTGTCTATCACCCATTCTCGGAAATTTTGAATTCGAGCATTGGCAGCGCGTAAAAAAATATGTTTCCTTGCTGGTCACTTTACATTGTAAGAATAGAATATTACGTTTCGGCTTACAATAATAAAAATTATACATTAGATCTAGTTTATAAAATAAGTTTTTATTCATATTAATGTGTAGACTGAGAGGATGTGCGGAAGTGGATTGTATACCTAAAGATGTAAACTACTCAAAGTAGTATATTCTTTTTACTTCAGAATGATATTTAATTATTTAGTCAGTTAATAAAAACAGTGGTAACAACAGCAGATGCTTGTTTGGTTTGTATGTACATAATGTCTTTTAAAAACATGCCAAAACGTGTTTCTTTGAAAAAAGTTATATCTACTTCGAGTCGTGCAAGACATGAATCATATTGTTACAAATACAATATTCCCCGAAATTAATTGTGTTTACCGCAGTAAACAGAACGAAACACAATTATCGATATTCGAAGTTTATATCTGAGAAAAATTTAAAATTCACTTGACCGACAAAAAGTCTATTTAATAACGAAATTAATCAATGTCCTGGCATTATGTCGAAATGTGTTTACACAGCAAGATACACAACATATGAATCAACAGCTAAATCAGTATAGTCCAGGTTGTGAGGCCACTCCCGTTGTGAAAATGTTTCTGATTCGGTTTCTTCGCGGATTCCGGTTCAAAAATGTCCCCTTTAATCAAATCTGAAGGGTGCCGTGCGAAATTTTTGGGCACAATTTTTTTAAACAAAGTCCAAAAATATTTTTCTTTAATCTGGAAAACGTTTTTATAGGTTTTTTTGGGCTATTTCAAACAAAAAAAGTCTCTTGTCATTTTTCTCTTAAGTTGATAGTTTTCGAGTTATAAGCGATTTAAAGTCTGAAAAACGCGAAAATACGCATTTTTGAGGCTTGAAAACACATATGTAAATTATTATTTTTAAGGTTACCAAGTGTCTTAATTAAAGTTTAAACATTCAACTTCAAGATTGTGAAGAGTAATCGGGGCTTTTTTTAATTTAGACCGTTGTTTTTTAATTGTTAAATATGCGCGTACACTCGATTTGTCAGCCGCCGCGGCGCCGCGCGCTACCGTGCGCCTCTATCCTACTTATGCTTAGTTTACATATACTTACAAATAATTATTATTTATTGAGTATATATTTATTTATATCAACTAAGTTATAATATAAATTTCATCTAAAGTCTAATAATAGTTACATAAAATAATTGTACAAAAGATTGTTAAATAACACACTAATATCACTCAGTAAAAGTATCTTTGCTGTCACAAAAATCTAAATCACATCCACATAATGGTACACAGTTGACATGATTTTTCTTGCAGTTGCAAGCATTAGTTTTGTAAGTCTTTTTGCATTTGCACGGTTTCCCAACCCACCACTATCAGACATATAATATCCATATTGTGTAAAATCCAGAGTTTGATAGCGGGAATATATGGCATTTCGCCAAATATATGTTTTATCGAAAGCTCTTAACAAGTGTTGGTAAAGTGCGTCAGAGGTACAAGGTATATTGGCTAGATTAAATTAAATTTTTCAGTCACACTGTCTTTTCATCGAAGAGCACCATTTTGTATTGTTATGTAAAAATCTACATTAGGTTTTTGCACTAATTTAATATTGTTGATGTTATTACAAAAAATACAAACTAAATTTTCTTCGGTAAGTTTTCATTTAAGAAGAGGTACGGAAAAAGACATTTTAAATCCATTCACAATTTTTTTAATAACACATTAATAATATAAAACTTTTTTAATGGGCATTAAACAATAATCTTCCTAATGATCGTTTAAGTAATAACAAATCAAGTATGAGCGCGCGATTGTTAAACAGGTAAAAACTTGCATTTTTGCGATAGTATATTGTTTTTAAGCACCGCGCAATTTAAAATTAAGTTTACTAATATTAATATTTACTGCATTGTAGTATTTAAATAATAATTTAAAAATATTATTTACAATTGATATAAATAAATATATACTCAATAAATAATAATTATATTGTTCAAATTTGGAAGAAAAAAAAACTATATACGGTTATTACATTGCGATGATTGATTTATTTAATTAGCCCAATGACGATAATTAATACCTACATAAATAAATTATGGAAAAAACTATGTTAATAAACTTCAAGGATTTGTTTGGGTTTTTTTGCGTAAGTGTATATGTAAACTATGCATAAGTACGATAGAAGCGCACTCTAGCGTGCCGCGCCGCGGCGGCTGAAAAATCGAGTGTACGCGCATATTTAACAATTAAAAAACAACGGTCTAAATTAAAATAAGCCCCGATTACTCTTCACAATCTTGAAGTTGAATGTTTAAACTTCAATTTAGACACTTGGTAACCTCAAAAATAATAATTTACATAATAATATGTGTTTTCAAGCCTCAAAAATGCGTATTTTCGCGTTTTTCAGACTTTAAATCGCTTATAACTCGAAAACTGTCAACTTTAGGAAAAATGACAAGAACCTTTTTTGTTTAAAATGACCCAAAAAACCTAAAAAAAACATTTTCCAGATTAAAAAAATATTTTTGGAATTTGTTTAAAAAAAATTGTTTAAACAATTTCTGCCCAAAAATTTCGCCCGGTACCCTTCAGATTTGTTTAAAGGGGACATTTTTGAACCGGAATCCGCGAAGAAACCGAATCAGAAACATTTTCCCAACGGGAGCGGCCTCACAGCCTGGACTAGTAGATTGTCGCAACTATCCAACGAAGCAAATACTTTCATTTTATAAGCTTTAATAAAAAACTAAAAATTTCGTTAAAAGAAGAACTGGAATACAAAGTAAACGTTTAACTTGCATGATATTGAATAAGAATGATAACACAGCCCAACAAAATGCAAAAGATTGGTGCTTAAGATATAACGAATTTTAAATATTTTTGATGCTATGATTTCAAAAGTGACTTCTTTTTCATAATAGTTTTTTTGGAATCGATGGTATAATTTTAACTTCGCTCGAAAAGATATATACACAAAGGTATCTGAAAATCACCAGACGAACTTAGAGTAAATATGATAGATCAATCTATTGTAGACTCAAGTCATTACTCCAATATAATAAACGTTCGCACCAGAAGAGAAGCCAATGCGAGTTCTAATTACTACTGGATCGCAAGCGGGGTAGGGGCAGAATTAGAAAGGTTTTAAAAAGGAAATGGGTTCTAAACATGAATTATTTAATATAGAAGGACTTAAAAGTACAAACAAATAAAGAATATAAACAAATTATAAACATCAAACTAGAAAACTAACTTAAACTTGAAAATATAACCATAAATAACACAAACCTAAAAACATAAACAAAGAAAAACAAAAAATAATGATTGTTTTGACAAAAATTATCAGATTATAATAAAGAGAAAAAACAGAGCATATTTCGTGATGCAACAGATTTACAAAGCCCAATATACAGAGGATAAATCGTAATAAGTACGCAAGGAATGAAAGAAAATCTACTGCAGAAAGAAGAGACAGACTATGAACAAAGAACTTCAAGAACCATAAGATCTAAGTTAACCAATAGAGACGAGAAAATTTTACCATAACCTGAACAAAAGCAAAAAAGGATTTCAAACAAAAGACATAAAGAGATAAGGAGGGTAATATATTGACAGAACAGCAAGAAAAACTAACAAGATGGTATTCCTGAATGAGACCGAAAATGTTTTAGATTATATTGGTATATTAGATGTTTGCTTGTGATACTCCATTTAACGTTTATTTTTTTTATAAAAATATTACTTTTAATTTAGTGTTCTTAATATGCCATACTGTAAATAAAAAAATAAATTCTCCGGTACTGATACGCTTCGTGATAAAAATCATAAGGAGAGCTAAATTTTACAATAATTTACGATATCACGCGTATGACTCATTTCATTATTTCTTTGCTGGAATATAGATGCCGGTAGCATGGTACCATGAACACATTAATTCATTGCACCATGTGGCGGTAGTATAAAGCAAAGGAGAAGGAAACGCCACTAACTGCAAGAATTAAGCAACATTGTCACGAGTAGTCGCCCCCTCTTTGATTTACGAGTTAAGGAGATTGGATGCTTTCGCGAACTTAACATCGTCATCATTGTTGATTACGGATACCATCACATATTTGAATTGTGTAGAAATAAATGAGTTAGACATGTAATATCGTTTTTCTTTTAATTAACTTCCTATATTTCACTATATTCCACTTTCGCAATATATATAATATATATATATATATATATATATTATATATATATATATATATTATGTATATATGTATATATATATATATGTATATATTTATATATATATATATATATATATGTATATATATATATATGTATATATATATATATATATATACTCAAATTAAAGTGGACAAACCAACATTATTCTAGTCGGAACCTATATACCCAGACACCCTTTGTGACGTCCTCGTATATACAGAAAGTAAATCAACCAGACGTGGATATGTACCAAGAATGATTTAGCTAGAATAAAGAAAACCGAGTATAATTGATAAATAAAGTAAATGCATAAGGTGCAAAATCAAAACAACAGTTGCTGTCGACCACGGATTAAAGTTGAAATGGAAACGGGCCAATCCCAAGGAAACGCATTAGGATAAAAGATAATAAAAAAATTGGTCGTTAGAGACCGTAAGTTGTAAAAAAAGTCGACCGCAAATTATATCGAAATATGATATTATCCAAACCGTAGGCTTAATGTGGAAGAGGCAAACAGAGAACAAAGATATGAATAGATTGTGGGCTATAGATAGATCGATAAAGGTTGTATGAAAAATTCTAGAGGATTTAAAATAGAAACTTGAACGGTTTTAAAAGCTTAAAACAAATCGTTATACAAGAAAGAAACTGAATTACTAGAGAGGCATTATTATCGATAATTCACTCTAAAAGTATACAACGTTTATGAATACTGGTAAATATTTAAAAATTCAAGTTTTATTAGAAACAGAAAGAAGATCCCAAGATAAATCAGTATAGTAACGAAAATTGATAAAATCAAATTGAATATTATTAGTCGAACTCTATCATACACACACAAACCTTTTTTGTTGTTTTCACAAACTATAAGTAAAGGGTGTTTTATTAGAGATATAAAAATGTAAGTTGGTAACACTTTTATACCTGTGACCATTGTGACAGCTGTCACGTGATTTAGTTTAAATTTGGTTTGGCATTCCAGCATGAATAGACTTGACAAAACCTAAACAATGCTTCGAAATTGTACAAATTTATTTTGAAAATTGTGATTCTATTCGAAGTACATATCGCACACTTCGTCCATTTTATGGTCAACATAATAGTCCATCAGAGCAAGTAATTGGATTAACAATGAAACGTTTTGCACCACCTTTACGTTAAATGATAATTTTTATCTACAGACACGTCGTATAATGCGTACAGAAAAAGTTGTTGCTGCTGTAGTGCGTAGAAATAGGAATAGGAAGACCCGGATCAATATATCTGCCATCGTGCGCAGTGCTTCGATATGTGCCCATCGACTTTATGGAAGATTTTGGGGAAAGATCTTGCATTGCTACCTTTCAAAATCTAACTCATGCAAGAATTAAAGGTACATCATTACCTACAGATTCGTAGATTCGAAGAGTGGGTCCAAAAGGAAATTGCCGTTGATTCCCATTTTCATGAGCGATTTTTGTTTAGCGAGGAAGTTTACTTTTGGTTGAATGGCTACGTCAACAAACACAACTGCCCTATTTGAAGTTAAGATAATCCTCAAATGTATTACATTTAATACCGTTTAGTGTGCTTTATAGTCTGGTGAAATTATTGAACCTTACCTCTTCAAAAACAATTCCGGTCAGAACTTTACAGTCAATGATGACCACTATAGAACCATGATTACTGCCTTTTTCATTCCCTAACTGAATAACCGTGATGTGCAGGAGCTGCCGTTTCAATAAGACGGTTTGGTAACCGTATAGTTTCACTTTTCGTACCGTGAATTGGCCTCCAAGTTTGTACGATTTAACACTGCTAGATTATTTTATGTAGAAATATGTAAAGGTACTAGTCTACGCCGATAAGCATGAATTATGAACTATGCGAGAGACTGATACTCGCCAGAATAGAAAAAAATGTCGACAAGCACCTCATCCCACAACCAGGAGGATTCAGACCTGACAAAAACTTATAACAAGGGCTGCTTTTGTAGATCTGACAGCAGCCTATGACACAGTGAGGCACAAAACATTGCTTCGCAAATTATACGACACTCTCAATGACCACCAACTGGGAAAGGTCGTATATTCCATACTGCAAAACAGACGATTTTTCATTCTGATGGATGGTAAAGTAAGTAGGTGGAGAGATAAAAAATGGCCTCCCAAAGGGAAGTGTTTTAGCACCAATACTCTTCAATATATACACAAACAATCAACCTACTCCGACCGAAACCAAGCACTTCCTCTATGCTGACGATCTTGCAATATGTGCTCAAGGAAATTGTTTTGAAGAAGTAAAGGAGGAACTCGAAACTGCCTTAAAAACAATGACAGCGTACTATCTGCAGAATTCTCTGAGATCCAATCCCTCTAAAACCTAAGTCTGCGCTTTCAACCTTCGCACAAAAGTAGCCAAGCGAAAACGTTAAATTGTCTGGAATGGTAATATATTAAAACACACAAACCAACCTATATATCTTGGAATAACTCTGGAAGGGTCCCTCACCTACATTGCATAAAAACGAGAGGGAAAGTAACAACTAGGAACAGCATACTCAGAAAGCCAACGGGAAGTAAATTTGGCGCACGTCCTGGCGTTTTACGAACAACGGCACAGATACTGTGTTTTTCAACTGCTGAATATGCGTGCCCCGTTTGGAGCAGATCTGCCCACACCAAACAAGTTGATACTGCGCTAAATGAGACATGCAGAATAGTAACGGGGTGCATAAAACCAACGCCACTTCCAAATCTATATACAGCAGCGGATTTTGCAGAACCCTCAGCACGCAGAGGCGTTGCAGAACACATAAAGAAAACGAAACAGATCGCGGACGAGCGGCATGCCCTATACAAAGCTCGAACACCACGAAAGCGACTAAAATCTAGGAAATTGGAACAGTGCAAGATGAACCGCCTGAGTATTTTTCACTTCGTCAGGTTTAATGGACCGGCCAAACCCTAGACTTTAAAACGTGGAAAACTTTGAATAGGATAAGAACAGGGGTTGCTACAGTAAAATCAAACATGGCAAAATGGGGAAAAATAGACCAAGATAATGTGAACTGTGACTGTGGAGAAACACAGAATATGGAACATCTTCTTACATGCAGAAACTGTCCTCATCGATGCACCCTTGAAGATTTGTGGCTAGCCAACACAGATGGAATAGACGTAACCCGATACTGGGCCGTAAACCCGATAATGACATGTCCGGACACGATAAGTAAAGTAAGTAAGCATGAATTGATTGACTACTTAAAGAAAAACATATCTCTCGTTATTGTCGATACACGGGGATCAATATTGGAAAAAGTGATCAAAAATTGGACCTCCAGATTAGACTCCTGAGCCAGCCATGTTGGTCATATACCAGAAATCATATTTAAATTATAATGTTAAAATATTATCTTTCAAATAAAGTCAATTTCATGTCAATTGATGAAAATCATCTTTGTTTTATTCTATTTCAATGTTCTATACCTCTAAAAAAACACCCTTTATTAATTATTTGGAGAAAATATTTATGCATTACATACCGTTCCATAAAATTTTTTCTAGGCCAATAATGGGAGCTTCAAATAACAAAGTAAGTACAAAAGCCAACGCGTAGCCTAACGTTACATCAGCTGTAGCCGCATACACCTAAAAAGTATGTAGCTTATAATAGTTTAATATTTGCACCAGTATTCTAGTAGCATTATGTCTAGTGCAAGCATATGATCTTAACTCTTAACTTGGCACGCACATAACCGCTGTAAGAAAAATGTTTTTGCTTACTGAATATCATTTTTAGAGGGCTTCATTTTCAGAGTCAATTACATTTTTGTTTCTATTTTAAAATTTTGACATTTTATTGACATTGTATATCATAAGATACACTACTAGGCGTACCGTACATTACAATGTACCTCGCAAGACACATTGCCAGGAATACTATAAAACAAGGTTTTACTTATAAAACAATACATTGCCAGGTTATTAGAAAAATACCTCCGTATCTAGAAAAATACATTGCAAAGATATATATTTGTAGTTTGGACCAATATATTTAATAATATCGGGTTATTGAATTAAATGAAAATTATCAAATTTTCACAAAATATATTGAAAACGTTAAACAAATCTACAAATATTTTGCTAGAGGTCTTTAGCATTTTCAAGACTTTTAGCAAAACAATTGTAGATTTTTGATAATATAAAAGGCAAATATCGAGCACAGTCGAATTAATTTAATCTTGCCCAAGTACTTTCGATCCATAGATCATCTTTAGGGGCATTTCGTCAATTGGGGCGTATCCGACAAGAATAAAATGTCATAAACATAAAATGGTACACTACACAAGGAGAAACAAATACTTTAAAATTTTTTTTGAAAATAGGCGAAGCTACATTGCTTATAGAAGCCGGAGACAGAATGTCCGAGACAGACCAAGTTAAGGTAAGCAATAAACACAAATAAGAGTTGGAAACTGTTTGTTCTGTTTAACCATTATTGAAATATTTATGAAGTATTGTCTTTGATGTCAGTTTAACTTTTTTTGATGTTAGTTCTTCTTTAGAGGTATTTTCCAAATGTGTGCCAATCTCTTTCCACACATCGGGTACTTTGTGCTTTTTTGTGGTCTTTATGTAAATAATCCTACAAAAATCTCTCACTAGCATATAGCTCTAAAAACTTTAGCACTTGGTCATTGCTCCACTCAACAATAGTTTACGAAAAATTTACCAAACAATAAATAAATAAGTCCGTGCACTGACAAGACAGTGAGCATCATGTAAATAATCACTGTCACTCGCACTGCAAGTCCTTTGATTTCCGTTTAAAAAACCGCCAATGAAGGGAGCGTACGACAACGACTGTGGCATGAGTAATGACGGGGCGAGCCGCAAGTGACGTATTTACATACTCAAGCTGCCAACTTCTCTGCTCACTGCAACGGAAGTGAGCTGCATGTAAAGAGGGTTTAAGTTTACATGATTTGGAGACAGATCAATCGGTTATTTTTAACCCTTTCCAGTCAGATGATCTCATTTGGGATCATAGCAATGTTTTCTGCTTTAGCGGCAAAGGAAACTACTTATATGTCGATTTGGCGAACGGTATTGCGTTGCGTCACCTTTCTCTAGATGACGCTGCATTAGTTTATTTGACAATTCTATCAGTAAGCATTAGTCACATTTCAATGTAAAACTTCGTAGTGAAACAACGATCATCACTTTACCTCAAATTTCAAATCATTCTATGGTGAGTAATTAAACCAGTAATTGCGCGAAAAATTATTTTGGTTCCTACATTGTTTTTATTTGATAATTTGCATTATAGTTTGCTCATATTTACAAGATTGTTTATGTAAACATTATAAATATCAATGAATCCAAATGAAATCATTGGGCCATTGTAGAGATCTCCAAATGGTATAATTTGGAAGTCTTATCAATTTTGTTTCTATCAATAAAATACAAAAGTACAATATACTTTTTTATTTCAGATGGATCGTGTGTTTAAAACTAACAAAATCAAACTTTATATGCGGCAATTGTAAAATTTGTCCCAGGTAAAGGTAGTTGGTCTTAGAAGAAGAAATTATTGAAGAAACTTAAATAGAAGAATTATTTGAAAATATTGTTGATAAAAGCTTGAACACCCAAGTTACAGAGAATATGGAAAAAAACTGTTAAAGAGATTACAGAAGAGTCACAGACCAAAAAAGCATAGAAAATTATGTTTGGTGATAATGATATTATTCATAATTTTGCTGAATATACAAACTTGTATTATGTGTAAAAAGACAGTAAAAATACTGATACAAATACAGCTCTTAGGAATGCAGCAGTTCTTAGTCATACATGTAGTGAGTGGAATTGTTCGTGTTCCTTCATATAGAAGAAACGCGATATAATACGATAGATGATATAATGTCACGTAACCGTTTTGATAAACTGCGAGCATATTTTCACGTCAACAATAATTTGAAAGTCTCGTCTAGCAACAATGACAAATTATATAAAGTAAAACCTTTCATTGAAAAAGTTCGGCAAAATATGAATAAGATAAAACTATTCAGGTACTACTAACGCCAGATGATTCCAAATGGGATCAATTTTTTTTAGTTTTGAAGACTCTAGAATGCATTATTTCAAAAATTTGCAAAATTTATTAAAAAAATTTTTTTTTCTGGAAAGGGTTAAGAACTTGTCGTTTAACCTTCAATAAACACGCATATATATTTTCAATATACACATCTTCATCCTAATCCACTGTAAATAATAATTTTTGATCTGTAAAACGTTAATATACTTTTTTAAACAATGGCTTTATTAAATCTTACCGAGTTAAAGGTACTGGCGTATGGAGGTTTTCTTCGTGTACCAGCTGAATATATTTGAATTACACCATGACATAAGTAAATACTGTAAGTGAGTCTACTAAGGATAATCAACGGAGACCAAGAAAGAATTGGATCAACCCAACCTTAAATGAAAAATAGTAATAATTTTATAAATTTTAAACAATTTATTAATTTTTTTAAAAACCTTTATCCTCCCGAAAAAAATTTATTAGAGTATACATTCAACAAATTTAAGTATATATTTTTATTATTCGTAATAATTGTGTTTAAAACAAAATTCCGATTTAATTTTAATGTACACGGCTTTAAACAAAAATTGATATCCAATGATTTCAACATGCTACTTTTCCATTTCTTGGTTTTTTTAATTTTTAGTAAATAAAAATCTGGTTTAAAATATAATCTAGTATAAGTTTTCGCGTCTTTATTACTATTTCAATAAATTTGAGTTCAATTAAAATAAAATTTAGTTTAATAAATGACATTTAAAATGACCCAGCACAAATAGAAAATAATTGATTGTATTTGAACTTGGAATAACCCACCTAATTTGTGCAATTTTGATGAATGGATTATAATAATTATTTCAAATAAAATCAATTTTGTTTTATTTGTGTTTGGTTTTTCCCATTTTAGTTAGAAAAATTAACTCTGTTGCTTGTTTAATAAATACTAAGATAGTGTAATGAAATTTCTACCCATTGTGCCAAAATACGCGATTAGTATCCTCACAAGGCTAAACCCGTAAATATACAATAACTTCATTGTAGGTGAGAGGAGGGCACATGTGGACAAATTTCAAAAAAAAAGTTTTTGCCGCAAAATAAGATTAATTGTAAAGTATCGGCTTCTTCAATATATGATTTCCTTCAGGAAATGGGAAGACTGAATATAAATATATATTAGGAGTAAGCGAAACATGGTGGCCTAACTCAGGATATCTTTCAACAAAAACCGGTACCTTATATTATTCGGGAAACGCTGATAACCAACATAGATGTGAAGCAGCAATTATTTTCGATACATAGGTCAACAAATCAATAGAGGGCTTTGTCCCAATCTCAGAAATAGTGATGCTACTACAAATAAGGACATCACACACAAAACTAAATTTGATCCAAGTATATACGCCAACGACGGATGCAACAGAAGATGAAGTAGAAACATTCTACCAACAAATTGACGACGCACTGAAAATAACAAAGAACAGGGAAATCACGGTAGTTATGGGCGATTTCAATGCAAAAGTCGGTAAAGGAAGAGCTGAAACAGTAATGGGAGATCAAGGACTAGGGGAACGTAACGATATAGGCGATCATCTAATAGAATTCTGTCAAGAACAAAGTCTAATAATCACAAACACGTTTTTTAAATTACCAATGAGGCGGTTATATACATGGCGCTCACCAGCAGATAAACCGGAAAAAAAAGTTGTAAGAAAACAAATCGACTATTAACACCATCAAATCAGTTAAAACATATCCAGGGGCAGATATCGCATCAAACCATAACCCACTAGTCGCTAACGTCACGATTAGGCTTAAACGTATTAGAAAACCACAAAGAACTCCAAAATTAGATGTTAGAAAACTAACAGAAGACGATATAAAAATCAAACTTCATCAGAAAATATACGAAAACTTTGATAAATTAGATACTAACACTTACGAGATTAACGAACAATGGGAAACACTAAAAAACTGTCTCCTCGCTCCATGCAAAGAAATATTAAAAGAACCGACACGAAAGAAAGATAATTTGATAACCGAAGAGATACTCAGCATGATGGAACAACGAAGACAAGCCAAGAAAAAAAAAGTCACAATTACAAAATCATTAACAATGAAATCAGAAAAAAGATAAGAGAGACAAAACAAACTTACTATGAGGAAAAATGTAAAGAGATAGAGGATCTTCAGAACAAATACGACCAATTCAACATACATAAAAATGTTAAAGAACTGGCAAGGCTGCAAGAAAAAAACCACAACACAACTCTTTTAGATAAAAGTGGAAATACTATGATAACGACTGACGAAAAACTAAAACGATGGAAAGAGTATTTGGAAGAGCTCTTCGACGAAGAAAAAGGAAACCTACAAGATTTGTCTTTTGAAGACAGAGAAACAAATGTAGAAATTACAAAAGAAGAAATACTGTATGCACTAAAGAACACCAGAAACGGAAAAAGCCCGGGGCCAGATCAACTGCCTATTAATATCCTTAAAATAATAGAAAATGAGTATATTGATGTCCCCTTAAAGCTTTCTAATAAAATTTATCAATCGGGTGACATACCCAAAGAATGGTTGACCTCAACATTCATTTATCTCCAAAAAAGAAAAATTCTAGAGAATGCACTGACCACCGTACCATAAGCCTGATATCTCACACACGTAAATTGTTTTTAAAGATCATTCATAAACGCATTTACAAAACACTTGATATGGATATTGAAGAAACTCAATTTGGATTCCGTAACGGCGTAGGTACCCGTGAAGCTCTCTTTGCATTCAAATGCGTACTAATCCACAGATTCTTGACGTGAACCAAGATATGTACGTGTATTTCATAGACGACAACAAAGCTTTCGACAAAATCAGTAAAATTTTAGTTCAATTAAAATTAAATTTAGTTTAATAAATGACTTTTAAATTTTGTAATAACCCACCTAATCTGTGCAATTTTTATCAATCATCATCATCAACTAGACACTATTGTCCACTGCTGAACATAGGCCTCTCGCATGCTTTTCCACTTAGTCCGATTTTGCGCCATCTGAATCCAATTTGTAGTCACTCTTTTTATGTCATCTGTCCATCTCGTTGGGAGTCGACCTCTATTTCTGTAAGCTTGTATTCGGGGTCTCCATTCCAAAATTCTTTTTGTCCACCGGTCATCAACTGATCTTGCTACATGACCTGCCCAGTTCCACTTTAGTGTTGTTATCCTTTCAATAACGTCTGCTACTCCTGATCTTTTGCGTATAGTAGCATTGGGTATTCTATCAAGTAGAGAAATCCCTAACATAATTCTTTCCATTGCTATTTCCGCAACTTGTAGTTTACTCACTGTTGTTCTTGTGAGCGTTAGGGTTTCTGCGCCGTAGGTCATCACTGGCAAAATACATTGATTAAATACTTTTCTTTTCAGATACATTGGAATCTTAGACCTAAAAATATCCTTCATCCTTCCAAATGCAGCCCAAGCGAGGTTTATTCTTCTTTTCAGCTCGATTGTTTGGTTGTCTCGACTTATTCTGATCTCATGGCCTAAGTATTTATAGGAGTCAACTGGCTCAATATCTTTGTCTTCTACTAAGATGTTTTTGTTGTGGACTAAATTTGTCATAAATTGTGTTTTTGAAAAATTGATTTTAAGACCAACCCTTTTTTTGGCAGTATGAAGTTCTTGGAGCATTATCTGTGCCTGATCAAAGCTGTCTGCAATAAGAACGATATCATCTGCAAATTTAAGGTTATTTAAAAATTTTCCATCTACATTGATGCCCTTTTCGTTCCAATCTATTGTTTTACAAGCATATTCTAGCAAAGTTGTAAACAATTTAAGAGACATGTTGTCTCCTTGCGGAACGCCTCTTTCAATACGAAAAGTCCCAGTATCTTCATTAAGTCTTACACAGGCTGTAGCATGTTGATAGATGTATCTGATGAGAGATATGTATCGGTGATCTATTCTACATTGTGTTAGAGCTTGGAGCATTTCACTTTTATTGACCGTATCAAATGCTTTTTCAAAGTCGACAAAGACAAGTATCAGGGGTCTATTATATTCAATGGTTTTTTCAATCAACGACTTAATGGTTTGCAAATGATCATTTGCTCCGTATCCAGCTCTAAATCCTGCTTGCTCGCAAGGTTGATAGAAGTCTAGTTTTGATGTCAACCTATTAGTTATTATCTTCATAAACAACTTATAAACGTAAGATAACAAGCTAATAGGTCTATAGTTCTTTAGCTCTGTTATATCTCCCTTTTTGTGCATGACTACTATAACAGCTTTATTCCACTGAGATGGTGTAACCTCGTTTGAAAGGCATAAGTTATATAATTGCGTCAATGCTTTCAATACTGTCTTTCCTCCTGCTTTAACTGCCTCAATAACGATTTGATCATGACCAGCTGCTTTATTGTTTTTCACTCTATTTAATGACTTTAAGACTTCTTCGATTGTTATTTATGGGATATCCTCTGATATTTTTTGAATTTTTATGGATTATAATCTGAATTTTTATGGATTATAATAATTATTTCAAATAAAATCGATTTTTGTTTTATTTGTGTTTGGTTTTGCGCATTTTAGTTAAAAAAATTAACTTTGTTGCTTGTTTAAGAAATACTAAGAAAGTGTAAATAAAACATTTCTACCCATTATGCCAACATATGCGATAGTTTAGATATGGTTTACATAAGCATAGGCACTTCCTAAGTGCTATGCTTATGCAAGCATTTGTTCCTTTGTCAAAATAACCTAAATTATATTATATACAAAAATAGAAAAGACATGGAAACCATAGTGATAAGTTAAGAATGAAGAAAAAAGAAAAGCAATCTAATCAAATGTGGTCATGTCAAAAAATTCTGTTAATTTTATAGTAGTATCCTCACAAGGGTAAGCCCGTTAATATACAATAACTTTATTGTAGGTGAGAGTGGACACATGTGGACAAATTTCAAAAAAAAAAGTTTATACCGCAAAATAAGATTCATTGTAAAGTATCGGCTTCTTCAATATAAGATTTACATATTTGTGAGTCTTGGTGTACATTTAAATTTGACAGTAAATATATTTATTATTTAGGGCACGTGCATTACATTTCAAGTAAATGTAATAAGTTCACATGGGCTCCTAAAGGAGGCACATGTGGACAAGTCAATATTTTCTACGGGGCACGTATGGACACAGGTTTTGATGGAAACAAAAAATACATTTAACTCTTAATTCAAATAGAAAATAAATATTTTGCTTTGTGCTAATTTTAAAGAGATTAATATAGAATCGGTACGAGTCTGATAAAAAAACACGTGTCAATAATAGTTTTTTCATTTAAATTTCTAAATTAAACATAGACAGTTTTGCATAAGTAATTTTAACTTAAGTA